GTTGCGCCAAACCCAACGGTGCCAAAATCTATCGAGTTTTCGAGCAATTGGAAGCTTTAACTCACCCACTTCCCCAACTCGACAACAACGATGTTGTTATTCGAGATGCAAATGTGTATATGATTAAGTTAGGATTCCCAAAAATTTAAAAAAATGATTTTTTAATAAAATAAATTAAGAATTAAATTGAAATATATAAATATAAAAAAATGATGATGTGATTGAAAATTAATGATGTGACAAAAAATCAAACAAACAATTTCAAAACCCTTCCAAAATAAGAGGATACGTATAAATTCTCATAAAAAAAATCATTTATATTTATCAAACATAAAAAAATAAAATAATAGCGTTATTGGTATAGACATGCCAACACACGCTCCTTCACTTTGCTTGTTGTTCTATTTATTTATCTTTTCTAAATTCCAACCTTTGTCTCTTCTCTCTTTCTCTCTCTCTTTAGTTCTATTGCTAACAACATATGTACATGCGATCCCTACCATCCCTTTCCATGGTCTCGTCCCTACACCCTCACCGTGCCTTCTAGAACCTTCCGCTCAGATCTTAATTGGATTCGTTGTTTCATGGAAATGGCTTCCACTCCTCGCACCGTCGAAGAGATCTTTAAAGATTACAACGCTCGAAGAAACGCCATTGTTCGCGCTCTCTCTCAAGGTTCTCTCTCTCTCCTCTTTTCCCTTTTGAATTTTACTAAACTCTCTAATTCTTTTGCTTTTTCCTTTCTCAGATGTGGACGAATTCTACAAACTCTGTGATCCAGGTTAAGCATTCTCGCAAATCTGAATTGACTTTATTTTTATCTTTTACTTTACATTAAAAAATATTTTCTTCTTTCTTGGTAAGTTGTGCATGTTTACTTGGGTTCTAGGAGTTTCCTTTTTATTTATGAGAATTTGAGGGAAAAAATTGTATAAAATAAAGTTCTTTAACATGTCCCATCCTACAAGTTTTATAAAAAAATAAATAAACATATAAAAATGTAATATATAGATTGATTAAAAGTTTTGTTACCGGTTAGTAGTTTGTTGGTCACTCCCTGTGTTGGTTAAGCAATGTAGGTGTTATTGCAAATCCGGTAAATTGTGAAAACGTTAAGATCAACTTAGGGTTTGTCTATTTATTTATAATGTATGTTTTTGGCCTTTGATTTGGTTGAGGTTTGATAGTCATTAACGAGTTAAATTGTGTTAAAGAGTCTATTTGCTTGCAAGATATAAATATTTTTAAGATTTTTTTTACTAAAAAATATTCTTTCATTTTTAATATTCTCAAAATACTTTCAAGCTTATGCTCAAATAAATCGAATGTTAAGAATGATATGTTGGTTGTTATGTTTTATTACAATGATTATTATGATTTTTTGTGAGTTTGAGGTTTTTATGGTGTGTTTGTTTTAAGATAAGGAGAACTTGTGTCTCTATGGACATCCAAATGAAACATGGGAGGTGACTTTGCCAGTAGAGGAAGTTCCACCGGAGCTTCCAGAGCCAGCACTTGGAATCAATTTTGCTAGGGATGGCATGAACCGCAGGGACTGGCTTTCTCTAGTTGCTGTGCACAGTGATTCGTGGTTGCTTTCTGTGGCTTTTTATATTGGAGCTCGTCTTAATTGCAACGAAAGGTATCATGTAGCTTTGTTTGGTTGTCTTTATGTTATGTGTCTGCAATGCACATGTCTAAGTTTTGTGTTAAAATTTGAAAGCTAGGGCTTGTTATTGTAATTGTTGTTGAAATGCATTGGTATCATCATGGATGAGTGTTTGTCTTTAAGAAATAATGAGTTTTTAATTAATTGAAATTAAATGTGATTTATTCGTGGTCTATTGTGATTTTGAATTATTATATGCATACATTTTTTTATATATAAAATATGTATTAAGAAAATGTTAAATATTTAGTAATATATGTTAGTACCGACATTTTATGGCCCTTAAATATAAATATTTATAACCTACAAATAGGTAGATGATTTTTTCTGGTTACATAATAGGTAGATGATTTACTTAAAGTTTAATACTTGTTTGTGCATTTTTTTTTGAAAATCTTTAATTAGGTTCTTAAACTAAAAAAAATATTATAATTGGATCTTCATGTTTTTATATATTTTTTTTAATATAGTTCTTGAGATTAAAATTTTTTGATAAAATAATTTTTATATTCTCATACCCAAACAACCATATATATTAGATTATTATTCAATGTCATCATTCATATGTATTAGGTTTTAATATTTGTTAAAATTTTCTATTAATCTATAATTTTTATGATTAAGGAGATTAGATTTTTTTTTAGGATATATTTAAATAGGCTAGACATGTAGAATGATACATAAAATAATAATAAGAAGTAAACGTGTAAGTATGAAGATGTAAAAGATATCTCTTAATTAGATAAATATATATATATATATATATATATCATGACCAATTAAATCACAATTTTTTTAGTTTAGGGACCTAATTAAATTTTTTTAGAAAGTTCATAGACTAAAACCATGTATTAAATTTTTAATTGAAAATAACATGTTTTATTATATTAATCAAATAAAAATATTAAAAAATATAAAGAGCAAATATATATTATAGTATTTACATTCAATTTACTTCTTTACTACCATTTATTGTAAATTGATTTATAAATATATTTTGGAATCAAAAGTAATATATCTTCAAATTAGACCAAAATAAGACAAAAAAAACCTATTTTAGAAACTAAAAACAAACTCAATAAATTTAGAGTGACTAAAAATATTTTTTTTTCCTTTTATGAATATAATACAGTAAAAATCCAACAATAAAAATAACAAAACATTAAAATCATATCACTTTATAAGATCG